TGCTGCTGTTGCTGCTGTTGCTGTTGTTGCTGCTGCTGCTGTTGCTGTTGTGCTCCAGCTGCTCCAGTGGTGGGATGTCACTGGGCCACCACAGAGGTGGCCGCATTCTGCTGCACCACCACGCCCGGCGCACTGGCCACGGTCACCGTCACAGGAGGCGTGGGTCCATTGGCGTGGGCGGCGCTCGGCTGCTGCTGCTGTTGCTGCTGCTGCTGGGCGTGGAAGGGGTGCTGGAAGGGCGGGCCGTAGCACTGCGGAAAGTATAGCTCATTCTTGACCACCGATTGCTGGGCGACGGCCGCTGCCGCCGCCGCATTCGCCGCCATGCTGCGCACCGGCAATATGTTGGCCTTGTTGTCCACGGCGGCGGGATTGTTGTTGTTGAGGAATTGCTGCGCGGCCAGGCTCTTGGCATCGTTCATCAGATGATTGACGACAGCAGCCGAGGCGGCGGCGTTCTGTTGCTGCTGCTGCACCTGCTGCTGCTGCTGTTGCTGCTGCTGCTGCACCTGCTGTTGCACCTGCTGCACCTGTTGCTGCTGCTGCTGTTGCTGTTGCTGCTGCCGGCGCACCTTGGTGCTGTTGGGATTCATGTGGTTGTCAATGTGCTTCGTCACCTCGTTCTCCGTGGCAAAGCGTCGCCGGCAATTCGGCATGGGACAGCAGAACGGACGATCGCCCTAGGATGAAGAAGATGACAATAAAGAAGAAGAGGAGACGGGAATTAGTCAATGTCTTTCAATTGGCCAGCCAGCATGGGGCGCTGTTTGGGGGGCTCGGCTAGGCTACAACTACCTGGTGGGTGCGCGTATGCTGATCCAATATGGCCTTCTGCCTGAAGTCCTTGCCACACTGGCCGCACTTGTARGGCTTCTCGCCAGTGTGAATGCGCAAGTGCTAAAACRGAGAAGGAGAGGAARAAAGAGGGATAGATATGTAATACTCATTCTCATTGTCATCTCTGCCCACACTCACCTGGTTCAGAATGGTTCGCTGCCGGAAGAAGCGCGGACAGTACATGCAGCCGAAGGGCTTCTCATTCGTATGGATGCGCAGATGCTGCGTGAGATGCGACTGCTGGCGGAAACGCTTGCCACACTCCGGACACGGATACGGCCGGGATTCGATGTGTATGCAGCCGTGCTGCAGCAGCGTCGTCTTCTGCTTAAACTCCTTGTCGCAGATGGGGCAGCGCACRTAGAGCGGCATATTCGCCGGCCGCACGCCAATATGCTGCAGCACCTCGGGCAGGATCTTCTGGCCTGCTAGCAGGAGCAACGATTAAGAAACCAGTGGAC